TATCAAACTGATGGATTGCGCTGCCGTCCTGATCCACCCATGAGACCCCTTATTCTTAATAACAAGTTGTAACTTATTTTGAAGGTCTAAACAGTGATAATTAATGTGATCAATTGGTATTTTTTCCCATTCCAATACCAGAGCTGCTTTTACTTGATCCTTTGTAGTATGACTTTGGCCTTTGAACTGGTACTCTTCTAGTGAGTCTTTTAAATAGTCTCAAAGTAGTTCTTTATTCAAGTCCGGTGACTGGGCTGACCAGTTAACAGATCATATACCTTTCTTTTCCCGCTCCACTTCACCCAATTCTCTTGCAGTAGTATGGGCTAGAGCATTGTCCTTAACAGTCCACATTTCACTTCCAGTTTCTTGTTCTACCCATTGAAGAAATGGGTAGTACAATGGTCATAGGATATGTTCTCTATAGAGAACCCAATTGATACCTCTTGTAACGATCCCTCCTTGGATAGTTAGTTCTTGGCGACGGGGAACGATACTTCTCGTTTCTGTCTTCCTCTTCCTTTGTCTTACGATAGCTCTAGGCCTCTGCCTACGTTGCCGATAGTACAAGATCCTTGTCTTCTATCGGGAATGCCTATCGTAAGCTTTCTCTAACTCTTCTTCGTAAAGCGCTTTCCTTGGCGTAACGATAACATTGCAATAAAGATAAAGATCGTCAAGATGTTTTATATTCGTTAAAGTAATAAGTAGGAAAAGTACTTAGAAATCAATCTAATTTTATTTAAACTCGTACCGCCAACACTGACATACGACGAGCCCCCGCCGGCACAGGGATACTGCTAACGGGTATACCACTAATCCTAAGCTAACTAAGTCTACGGTCCCGCACCTGCCATCCCCAAGTCATGTCCGCACGGAAACTAATTACAAGACCATCAAACAACCCAGCGCCCACCCCAGTCCAAGTCTGTAGCTCCTCTAATATGAAGCCAACCAGCACTAAGCGTAGCCGAAGTCGAGCAAAAGACCAACCCAACCAGGTTCCTCGTCCAACAAATATAAAATCACTACTGCTCGGTCTAAACACCACCCCGCAACGCCTCCACCACAGTAGAAAACCAACAAAACCAAAACAAATATAAACTACAGGCGACACAATGGCAGAGAGGAGTTAACCAACATGTCCACCTCTCGCATCCGCATGTCAGGCCGTCGACCCTATGAACCCGCTTTGCCAAGTGCCTCCGGAGAGCGTAATGGTGAGGAGGACCTGTACCCGCTGCCTGTCCCCCCAAATAAAAAAAATAAAAAAAAAATAAAAAAAAATACATAGAGGTAGTGACAGACTGAAACGGTCAGTGGGGCCTACCTCCCACCCGTGGTGCCTTGCCCCCGCCAGCCATGCCCGTTGCCAAACTAAAGAAACTAAACAATCCCTACAAAACCCAACACACAGAACCCAAACAAGTCCAACCAGGTGGTCGCAACCCACTATCCGCACAGGTGGCCATCAGTCAACTGGTCTATCGAGTAGCTTTACAGCACTCAGCAGCTTCGCCCAACAGCCCAAGCCGAACTGGAAACACTTATGTAGACATCACCCAACCTGACGCATGTCCGACTGGTGCTTGCGGGTGCCTCCCCCCCTCCAATCAGCCCCCCCCAAGCCCCACACAACATACGCCACAGAGCCCATCCGGTCCCCTCAGCCCCTCAGACAGATTAACCATCCAACAGCCACAGGACAGCTATACCTGATCCCATCAGGCAGCCATTGGTCTTGGCCACACGAACAGAGCCCCAACCCCCAGCACCGTATAGCTGAGGGGGGCCCACCAGCCACAGCCAGGAGCCACAAAGAAGGCAGCACCAATACCCGAAGGCACCAGCACCAGCCACACCATCCAACCCAGCCGAACCGAAGTCAGACTGAGTCAGGAAAAAGGTAAGCGGAGCCAGCTAAAGCCAGCCCCACAGATCTGGCAACAGGCACGGACCGAACGACGGGCAAGAGGCATCCCCAACCGATGTGACAAGAAGGGGAAGGGCGAATGAACAGAAGCAGACAAACAGAAGGTAGGCCCTACTTGCAATGGGTGAAGCCGCCAACCACAGACCACAACCGAACCACCCAAACGCACAGACAACGCGAGTGCCTGGCAGCCAATCGTCCCACACCATCCCAGGTAGTCATGAAAACCACACCAGGGGGTAAGAATTTTCAGGGTCAAAGCCATCCCCACAGGTGTGAGGAGGAGACGCCTGACTGAATCGCTGTAAATGCCACGAGGACAAAAAACTCCAAGGGAACAGCAATAAACAACATCGTAGGATTCCAACCGTAGAAAGGTAAAGTAACAAGGCAGGGGGTGGGCCGGCGAGGCCCCCTCCCCTGAGGGAGTGATGTGGCTGGTACGACATATTGATACTTGGGAAGGTCATCAGTCTAACCCAAGGGCGTTTTGTATCGAGAGAACTAAGAACTCCGTTAAAACCCAACAAGAGACATGAGCTGGTCCAAAGAACGACACAGGTGATCCCCCTAAACACAATGTTCAATCCCCCCAATCGAACGCGAAACCTGCGAGTAGACGATAGACAGGAAGCCATAGACATTTTTCCGAAAGGGGCTCGTATGCGACCTTGATGAAGTGCCCGAAGTGCTAGTATTGTGAGATAACCAACCCAACGAAACGAGAAGCAAACAAGTAGTCCGCCACGCAACACCTAACAAACCTCAACACCAAAGACCCCAGAAACTACTGAGCGAACTCAGATATCTCCCCCAAAATCTAAGGCATCAAGGCCCATCATGATGGCGAAAGAAACGCTCGGGGCGAAGCGACGGCAAGTATGAGGAAAAGGAAAAGTACTTAGAACAAAGCGTGAAGAACCTATCTTCCTCAGCCGCATCGGCCTTCTTATATAGTATTCTTCCCGCCCGTAGTCATGTGACCTAAAGTGGTCACATGTGCGAAACCAAATCATAACAAACTAGTTATGTGGCTCAAGTGATCACTGCTCAAAACCCATGACCTTATAGCGAGGTCATGTACAAAAACTCATAAACCAATCATAACGCAATAAACAAGTCATATGACTCGACTGAGTCATATGCGCGAAACCCATGACCTCATAATGAAGTTATATGCGAAACATAAATCATATGCACAAGGCTTACCTGCAAGGCACACTCGCAAGGCATACTCATCAGGCGCACGTCCCATGACTTGTATTTAAGCTATGTGCAAAAGCATCACAAATCCCACACATAACAAATTATATGACCCGAATGAGTCATATGTGTAAAACAATAACATACCTGTGACTCAGAACCATGCATCACGTGAAAACCTCTTTCATGCCAAGCCACGTTTGTGACACCTCTCTTGCTTCGATCACCGCACTCTTTAATTGGCTCCTTAATTTCCCATTCTGGGTGGCGCTGTTGTTGAGGATATCCAAACGGGAGTGGATCTGTTTCATCTAACCACCATATATTAGTATTTAATTTCTGCAAAATTTTAAACTCTTCTGTTCCTTCAATTTGTACGAGAGCCTGTTTTTCATCCTGCTTCTCTCTTTTTAACTTATTTTCTATCTCCAGCCTATTATTATAGTATTCCTTCTCTTCTTTAGATTCCTTCTCCCACACAAAACAAGGTCTACGATACCCATAGACCATATAGGCCTAAAATATTATCTGTACTTCTGCTGATTTAAAATAATGCCTCACATAATCGAGTAGACTGAAGCCATATGGACGTAACATATTGAGAGGCCTACAGGTGTGCCCAATCTTGACCCATATTTTATTGGAATACGTAAAGCATCTAGAATAATATTGATTTAGTTTAGTTTATTAAATTCTTTCTAATTATTTCTTGAAAACTGTACTCATACAGCTAACTTGAAGTTGGACACCTAGGAAGTCAACCCCTATACCAGTTCTTGGCATGTAGATCCTGAATACAAGAATTAAAACTTGTCAGGCAGATTGTCTGTATAGGT